GGAACACACTGGATGCCCGTTTTTGCCCAGGTATGGCCCTTTAATTGTATCTATATTTTTTGGTGACATAAAAATGAATGGCTTTAGTCTACCTTGGATTCAAATCAGCTTTAGACAAAGTCAGGGATAGAGAAGTGGCCTTAGGATAGACAAGTGGGCTTATTTACACCAAAATAGCGATATTTTATTTAACATATAAACAGTATCTACAAACATCTTAACACATACCAATCAGCGAAGATGATCACTGAAAGCCCAGCATCAACATCTCGCTTCAACTTGAGGATCTCTTCAGGGAAGTACTCCTCTTCAGGATCAACGATCAACAAAGTACCGTATTGGGAGGCGTCGAAACACGTAAAGGGAGATCCAAGTACTTCGACATAGTACCCAGTGTTCCTTAGGTTTTGGTACATATCTTTGAAGTTTGTGTGTATGTGATCGCCGTTCCAGTCAAGAGGATCGTTTTTGATCTTCAGATTGTCGCGGGGAAAGTACCCGGGTGGGTATCTGAGATTGTGGTACTGATCCCATAAGATACGTTTGTGTCTTGGTGGAGTCTGAATAATTTTTGCCCTGAAAGAACACAGTATTATGAGTATTCAAAAAGTGCAAAAGCACTGAAGTCACGCTTGAAAGTACAGACTTGGACAAGAGGGTCAATTACCTCGGTTTTACCGAGCGTCCCTCGTACACTTCATACCCAAATTTGGTTTACAGTTCCACATTCCGTCGCGTCAATCACATGTCATCTGTCGACGCATTATCTTTCTGTTCCGTCCACCTTCTCCACGTGAAGCGGATGAACGAGGTTAGAAACTACATTCCGATTTTGTCAGGAAAATTGCTTCTCGTTAATTAAAAAAAAATTAATATGTTTGGGTGTATTGATTTATAGTGTTAACACATAATGATGTTATCCGTCGTTATCAGAAAGTTCAATGTGTCCGTCCGATTGGTTTTATATCTGTAACAAGTGCTCTCATCTCCGCGTTCGTTTTGAAACACCATTTGGCTGCAACATCAACGACTAGTAAGTTTGTTTGCAATTTAGTCATTCCTGTAATTGAATGCTAGCATCATAATTGTGTTTTCAGATCATGATGAGGCTCCATAGAGAATTGCCGAAGCTTGATACTATCGTCAAAAGAGTTTGCCAATTTCCCAATTAACAATTAATTGTATTTTGCCGATATATATATATATATATAAATGAATCCTATTTCGCGTGGTTACGCCATAACTTGCGAATCACTTTACCGATTTCATTCATCTTGTTTTTAAAGCTTCGCAATGGTATATAGAAGGTTCTTACGGAAAGAAAAATCAAGAAAATTGTGCAGGAAATTGGAAATCATTGATACCTAATGATTATTTAAGCTACGCGCGACAGTTTGCTTGAGCATGGAGCACGCTCAGAAGAAGAAATATCCCAAGTACCAAAAGAGACAGGCACTCTTCTCCGGCATCTTTATTCCAACAGCTATTGAGAGTTATGACTTATGAATGACTTATGAAATCACGGTGCTTTCGTTTTTGAACTTACATTTCTTTACCATCCGTACTTTGTGATGTCCCCTTTAAAAGAAACTGCAGTGTTGCCTATCTTTGTCATTTAACTCTATGAATAAAAATTGTGGAAGAAAATACGTTTCTTTTGCTTAGTTGACTTTCACTACTCTATTATTTGAACTTGACAGCTAACACGCCGCAAATTTATATTATCGTTTAACAGTGTTTATCGATGAAAAAATATTGTTTTATTTAATTATTATTCCACGGTCCATATGATTAGAGATTTTATACAGTTTCCAGTTGGTTCAGTGTGTTTTTTGAGAAGCATTTGTTCAAAAATAATTAACAAGCTTGGAAGTTAGTTGACCGCAATCACGCCTTATATTAAAATTGTCATTCTTCAAAATGCCACCGATTAGACGTACTAACCTAGGTCGCAGAACTTGCAATGCTGCAAGTCAAAGATATATACGAAGAAGTCAAACTAACGAGCAACAAGAAGCGAGAAATGTTGAACGGGATCAAAGGACTGAAATTCAACAACGTAGCAGTGTCACATTTATTCCCAATCGAGCTGCATTCAATTATCACGTGGCAATCGATTACAGTTCACAACAAAGCGTTGCTATTGGACCAATGAACGTCCACATTGCAAGACTTTCAATTTTAAAAATGAAGCCCCTGGATTCTGTTGCGTCAGTGGAAAAGTCAAACTGACTCCATGGGTACCACCATGAAAGCCACTACATTCATAGGTTTCCAGAAATAGGCCAAATTCTATACATGTTTTGTCATATTCAGCAATACAAAAATTGCGTTCAAATGACGTCAGTTGGCGCAACAAAATTCATTCGACATAATTTTATATCTACTTTCAAGGTAAGGTGATGGGGAGATGGCAGTGCTGCCAAAGTATTTGCTAGCCACATGGCGGTACAAACACTTCGCTATACAATTACCTACATTCCATATATCTTCCCTTTTATTATTCATTATTCATTCCAGTTCATAGCTAAGACAGGACAATGTCTGTCGGGTCAGCTACGATGCTAATATAATTGCCTACAACACCATCTATTTATATTTATTGCGGAGAGGAGAAACATAGCTGTGACAAATTCGAATAGATGACGGTACATTATTTTATTTGACCTCAAATAATTTTTGGATGTGAGATTAAAGTATCAGGCCACCTTCAGAATACGAATGGTCATAGCCTGGGAGTGAATTTTTTCGTTAGAGCCTTGCAGGGCCAGTTTTACCACTTTTCCTTCATTGGCAAATAGTGGATAATATTCAGAATATACTTTATTAGTACAAAATATTTATATTCCTTTGAAATAAACATTCAGACAGTACAATCGTGTAAACTGGTTAAAACTTTCCAAAACTCACCTAATAGGTAAGTTAACTGTACTTCTTCTGGGTTGTTGTTCTCCGGGTCCAGGAGGCGACTCAATCGTGACTGAAACATGACCATGGGCTAATCCTTCATATGATGCTCCTTCAGATGCCACAGACAAATGTACTGCCATCCAACCAGACCAAGGCCAAAGCAGCTCGGAATATGATACAGCAACATCCAGCAAACGTCCTAATTATAAAAAAAGTTAAATCAAATGGATCGATTTAATGTTTTGCATTATGCTAATGTAAAAAATGGCATCAAGTAGGTTGACTCTGCACTTCCCACTCAACGCCCTTATCAGTACATACAAGAATACAATCAGCACAAACTAGACCCCCTGAAAAAAAAAAAATAGTAATCATGTTCATACAATTAGTAGTCCATAGACATTATTTCCCTGCCCTACCGGTAGTGCATCTGGAAACGTCGCCTTTCCCCTATATCTAACTCGGTTTCAATATCCCGTGCAGATTCCAGCAACCAGTCGTACAGTTGCGGTGGCGTTGTATAATTTTCAAATATGAGTGATCCTGATTTCCCTAATATGTCTTGAACAGAATACAAAACGTTACCTTGACCCCCAGGGATTACTTTAACAAATAACAACAACATATTAGGCATCGATGCTCGACCAGTGATGACTCAAAACACTTTTATAGATCGCTACAATACAAACACGTATACAAATACTGCACCAATCTGTCACTATTTTCTCATTTTACTTCCTATGCCAAAGCTGACGAGGAAGTATTGCAATTGTGAAAAATTTCGATATTGAGATAATTTGTTGTTTTGTTTGTGTTATAAGACATGTCATCAAGAAAAACCATGTCCGCTCAGATTTTGATGGAATTTTCAAACAAGGTTACTAGTATGCAAGGATGAAAAAAGCTATGCATTTTTTTGATCTTAATATATTTATATTTATTTCACACATTCATAGCTTTACCCGTACATTTGCCTTTAAAACTTAGTATGATAGAGAAATGTTTTCGATCTGCGTACTCGTGTCTATCAAAGCGAACCACCTGGCGAACCAGGATATACAGGATGATTCACAAGTCGTGACCAAAAATAAAACATCATACACAGTACCGCATTTTAAGGGGGTCTTCTATGTGACATTTTTTCCTCGAGGGCGTCATTAAAAAGATACAGGGTGTTGAAGTTCAAAAATAAAAATGTTTAATATCTCCAAAACCTTCAACTGCAATGAACTAAAATTTGATATGTGGAATTACCTAAGTATTGTCCACATTCAAAAGTCTTTACTTAAAATTAATGTGCACCAGTGGCGGAGATACAGAGGATTAGTAGCATTATTTTTCCAAATAAAAATAGTACGTGCAATTTCTCGAATTTTACCTTCAATTTGCTACAAATAATTACTCTTGTGTTTTTTCCTAGACTGCACTGTTTTCGTAAAAATAAAACAAATTAGATCATAAGTTTCAAAATATAATAGCAGGCCTTGATATCAACTTAACGTTTCTTGTGAGATAGTTTGTCAAAGTTATGTGCTATACGGTTGTTATCGATACTACTACCATTTTTTTTTTTTTGTAAAAGTCAAGTCAAAAGTTGTTTTCCATTTTTGAGTTGGGAAATGGAATTTAGCAATGATGAGTACGCCGATATCGTTTTTGTGAACGGCTTCTGTAATAAAAGTACTTTAGCGGCTTCTCGGGAGTATGCACGTAGATTTCGTAACAGACGCCAACCTAACCCAAAGGTTTTTACGCGTTCATTTCTATGACTTCGGCAAGCTTCCTGGAGTTAGATACCATGGTGTCCGGCAGACTGTTCAAGAGGAATTGGACGTGATTAATTTGACGCTGGAGGATTCTAGTACAAGTAAAATTTGAAATCGGGAAGTTTTACATACTTACCATCGGCAAAATGTGCAATGTCTGCAACCCGGCGACGAAGTACAATGGCGAAATTTTTTTGAGTGGTTACTGCAAATGCATAATCAAAATGCAGATTTTATTGATTTGGTTTTGTGGTCGAGGAGTGGAACCTTCAATTCTCATAATGAACATATTTGGTGGTTACAAAATCCCAGTACTGTAGGAATCCACTTGCTTCAACACAGATTTTCTAGAAATGTCTGGTGCGGCATTTTCAATGGAAAACTGTTTATGCACGTATTGCCACACCGTTTAAATGCAAACTCATACTTAGCTTTTCTAGAGAATTACAATAGAAAATTTGTTAGATGATGTTCCGTTAGCAACGAGAGTACGAATGTGGTATTAGCACGACGGTGTCCCACCGCATGTTCGTCGTGACATAACCGCATGGTTAAATGATCATTTTAGACAGCGATAGATTGGCAGAAACGAATCCATACATTGTCCTGCGAGGTGTCCTGATTTCTTTTTGTGGGGCGGTTTCAAACAACTATGCTGAACAAATTAATTCTGTTGATCAGTTACAAGAAAGAATAGATAATGCGTTTCATCAAATTCAAGCCACAATAAATTTTGCGGAAATAAGTTTTTCTTTCTTAAAAAGATGCCGCACTTGAATCCGTCAGAATGGTGTTTTTTTGAACATTTATTGAAATAAAGCTTTGATTAGCTATTTATCTAATTTGTTTTTTTTATTTTAACAAAAGCAATGCACTCTAGGAAAAACACAAGAGTAATTATTTATAGCAAATTGAAGGTAAAATTTGAAAAATGTCGCGTTTAAAAAAACAGTAGCGTACTATTTTTATTTGAAAAAATAATGCGACTAATCCCCTGTATCTCCGCCACTGGTACACGTTAATTTTATGTAAATACTTTTGAATGTGGACAATACTTAGGTAGAAACCAAATTTTATTTCATTCCAGTTGACGGTTTTGAAGATATTAAAAGAAATGTTTTTTATTTTCAAACTTCAACACCCCGTATCTTTTTAATGAAGCCCTCTAATCAAAAATGTCACACAGAAAACCCCCCTTAAAATGCGGTGCTGCGTATGATGTTTCATTTTGGTCACGACTTGTGAATCACCCCGTATATGAATTCGTACTGAAGCCCCATACAGAGCTTGCACGAACCGAAAAATAACTAGCTGAAGAGATGCCCCGCACATGTGGAAAGGAACACCAATGACACATGGACGGTAACTACCAGGAGGGCAGGGAAAGAATGTCCATATGGACTAACTGTATGGGACTCTTTGACCGACTTAATACGTTTAATTTATCTGCTCTACGTGGCCGTAACTCATGCGGCTGAAGTTTCGATTGATCACGTTCTGATCGAAACGATAAAAAGGCTACAGTCATTATCACTTCTACCGACTTAACTTTTACAGTACATAGAAAGCCATTAAAACAATCGAACTACGAGAAAACCGCATCGATTTATGTTTATTTGGACCCAAATTATGTTGGTAGAAGTGGTAATGACAAACTTTCGGCACTGCCGCCATTTTATCGTTTCCATCAGAATGTAATCGATCGGAACTTCAGCTACATCGTTACTCAGTATTTTCTCAGAGGATTTAAATTGCGGTGAACTTAATCCTTATGAACTGTTGACGGCGTTGCGTAAAAAGCGCAACCCACCTGACGCCATTTTTTTTCAACCCGATAATCTCTGGCAATACTAGAACATTTCAAATGCAACCAGAGATCAGCTTGTGATTGAATCTATTGTTACTTCAGCACTTGTATTACTAACCATGTTGTGGAGCATATGGATGCCACTCAGGCCTACCAACAACTTTGCCTGAAACTCCCAGACCATTTAGTACCGTAACATTCACAATTACAGGTTGAGCACCATAATAAAGTGGCTGAGTACAGTATGGCCACATATAGGGGCATTCACTCAGGTCTACATAACTAGGGCTCAAACTCGCCTGCAAAAAAGGTTAATATTCATTCCTAACACTGGAGTATTAAATATCAACAAGAACATTGGGTGCATCTAGATGAACATCTGACTATCGCCACCTACCAGTAGTTCGCCAAACCGATTTGCATCCTCATAGCATACCATGAAAACTATAGAGAGATCCTTACATTCTCTAGCCCATAACCAGCGATGGCCTTTCTATGGATATATGCATTAATAGACAGGGCTGAAATCAACAACATTGCTTTCTGTCTCCTGTAACAATGACCAACCGCATACAGCGCTGTTTCGTGCTCTTAGGGTCGTAGGCCTTGCCTTGGTGACAGACGAAACGGAAAGCAAACAAGTGTGTATGGTTTCCGTATCGTCTTCCTCCAAGGCTAAACCGGAGACCTATACAGCACTGATGAGTTGCTGATGAGCACAAAACAGCAGTGACTGTGATTATCCACGGTTACAAGAGACGGAAAGCAAACATGTGCATTTTAGCCGTATTATTTATGCAAATATGCATAAAAAAGAAATTGCTGGTTTGCTCTGAGAATACAATTAGACATGGTATTTTCCCCCACCAACTAAAAGTTGCACTAATTTAGCCCTGATTTAAAAAGGACCTGCAGAGCTAATGGAGAATCATAGACCCATTAGTCTGTTGCCAGGTTTTTTAAAACTAATAGTCTAATCATATTAGACCAAAATACCCCTGGTTTGCGAAATAATTGTAAAGTCTAGTTTTATTGCTGTAAGTTGTTCAAGGGAGTATTGAAAACATGGAAGCATAAAATGGGTACACCAATTTTTGTGGGAAAACTTTATATTCGACAAAAAAAATGAGGAAACGTATTTTTTTGATTTAATCGAAAGTTTTGGCAGGTACGAAAAAACTCTTTATATAGGATTTTTAGGTATTTATGAGACCTACAAAAGGTCCGACTATTAGCAAAAAAGTTTTGGCCGAAAACCGAGGCAAACTGCAGGTTTTGGCACTTGTTGGTAATGCGACGATGGTTTCTCGTAGATATTTGAAATTCTTCAAATTCGTAGGATTCGTACTTCTAAATAACCACAACAAAATTGGCGTAGATTGGTCAAGTAGTTTTTGAGAATGTATAAGTGTTTATCCCAAAACACCTGTTTTCCGGTGATCACTACTAGTTTATTGAGCAATAAAAAGGGGTTAGTTCAAATTGGCTTTTATAGCAAAATACACTGGTTTACCTTGCCGATATGAATCGCAAACCATTCCGGAAGATAAATAATATTTTTATGCAGAAATAATGGGTTACGTTGTTTTCCATAAAACAAATTCAAACATTTCGTATTTGTGAGTAATTCGCAACAAAAGATAGTAGACACATCCGATTTGTTTCACAATGTGAATAGTAACATATGTTTTTCGAATATCGTAGCGCATTTGTTCAGTTACTCACAAATACGAAATGTTTGAAATTGTTTTGAAGAAAACAATGTAACCTTTGTTTTTCGCATGGAAATAACATTTATCTTTCGGAATGGTTTGTAATTTATATCGGCAAGGTGAACAAACACGTGTATTTTGCTATTAAATGCTCTTTGAACGAACCCTGTGTATTGCTCAATAAACTAGTAGTGATGGCCGGAAAACAGGTGTTTTACGATAAACAATTAGATATGCTCAAAAAACTTCTCGACCTTTATAATCCAATTTTGTTGTTGATATTTAGAAGTATGAACCCTATGGATTTGAAGAATTTCAAGTAGTTGCGTGAAATTATCGTCGCATTACCAACAAATGCCAAAACCTGCATTTTGCCTCGTTTTTCGGCCATAACATTTTTGCTATTAGTCGGATCTTTTCACGTGTGGTTTTATTTTGAAGGGCTCATAAATACCTAAAAATCTTATATGAAAAGTCTTTTCGTTCCTGCCAAAACTTTCGATTGAATCCCAAAAAAACACGTTTTCTCATTCTTTGTTGTCAACTAAAAAGTTTTCCCACAAAAATTGTTGTACCCATTTTATGAGTTCATGTTTTAAATACCCCCTTGAACAACTTGCACCAATAAAACCAGACTTTACAATTATTTCGTGGAAATTTGCTCATGTGATTAGATTATAATCCAGCTCTGTATGTGTAGCCAATTGATGAATTCTTGCAAGGAGTGTAATCAGCTAAATGTAATACATCTATCTGGCGGATCCACACAAAACGCAATATTTAACTTCAGAAAAAATATAATAGAGCAGTTGTAAGAGGGCAACTCATCAAAAGGCATTTGTATGGCAGAGTTAACTCTCACATTTTATTAAAGAAATTAAAGGCATATAGAAAAAGGGTCATGCATTGCAGTGGTTCACATCATAGTTAACAGATAGGTAACAGAAAGTCAAAATCATCAAGAACAGTAGAGAGTATTTTTCATGTCTTTAGGAAAACAAAAATGGAATTGCTCAGTGTAGTATTCTTGGCCACTTATTATTGATCATATTTCTAAGTTGTTTTTACAGATAACAGGTTACTACTCAATTAAACTAAAAATAATAGATTAATGTGCAGAACAAGACAAAAAAGAGTTGAAAAGCCTACAACATTCAGGGTAGTTGCGAGATATATGAATGAAACAAGTGTGAAAAGTATATATTATGCAAACTTTGAATCAGTGCTTAGGTAAAAACTTATTTTCTGGGGTAGTAATAGTGCAGTACATAGAATCTTTGTTATGCAAAAACGAGTGCTTAAAATAGTTAAGAATATGGGTTATAAAGACAGTTGTAAATATAGTTTTAGATCCAATGGCCTCTTGACAGTATATGGACATATAAGCAGCAGCGGTGGCCGCAGTAGTAGACACTTCGGTCTCCTGATCAGTCGCCGTGCGCTGTGAGGGGTTCGATCCCGTCCCAGGAGGAAATTTTTCTCTTGGCTATGGATGTTGTGATTGTCCGTAGGTGGTAGATGCTCTCTAACTGTCGAACGCGGAGGTACCACCCGGCGGATCTCGTAGGCGGAGCCAGAATGTGTGCATGTTGCATGCACACATGTTCCCTCGCCAGAGTCCCTGTGGCGTTCCCAATTTCCCCTGTATCCCCCATAGCCCCACGGTACCCAATGGGTGTTTGTGGTAGTTGGAGTATAAAAAAAAATGAATTTTTAATTTTCTTTTTTGAGAACAGAAATGACTTACAAGTGTATGATATACCTACAACACAGGAATTTGAATGTAAATTATTCTCTGTATAGACTAACTTTAACTGAATACCATATTGCGCATGTCAGAAAAATTTTTCAACTGCCCGCCAAACTTAATAAAACTAACAATGAATACATTTTTAAATGGGAGGTCAGACGGTACTTGGGTCATATAGAGCCATATACTGTAAAATACTATGTGAAAGACTGAATACCTGCACTTTTTTTCATAAAGCTGTTTATCTTCATATCTTATGTATATTTTTGTAACTGTTACAAGAGCAGTCTTTACTGAGTATTTCTACCACTTGAAAGGTAACCCTGATGGTGCGGTGCAACATTTCTGAGCTAAATAATGTAAATGTCTTGGCGGATAATTGGTAGGTGGTGATCGTAAAATTCCATCTACTTGTGCAGAGTGTTTTGAGTTTTTCTAAAGACACTACTCACGTGTTTGGTTTCTGTTTTGTCTATCTCCAAGACTAGACCTAAGAACTACAGGTATATGGCACTAATGTTATGAAGTCGATTTCTTACATATTCCAATATATCAAGTTATGGTTACCATGGGGTATATGCGCAAACACCTCTAAACCTGATTTTTTTTTTCAATTAAGATTTGACTTCTTAGATTTTTTCAATAGGTCAAATTGCGTTTGGTAAATTTGGATCTCTCTTAGTGGGGCTGCTCTACAGGGTGACGAGAAAGTAGATGCGGAGCCGGTAGAGGGAGATTGTACAGGCAAATCTGAGTCGATTTTACTATAGGAACTACTGTCCGAAAATTAGCTGTTTTCGAGTTAAACTAATTTTTAAGATTTTATAAAATTAACATCTTTCATACGTTAAACAAGTCATAAAACTTGAAAATTGGGTGTTTTATCTGATTTTTTTTTGTTTTTACTATAAAAATATTGTAAAATATGAAATATGATACTCTATGTACATTATTGATGTTATAGTGCAGTAAGCTACAAAATAGTTCAATTTTTGTTAAAAAGTCTTCGTCCACCTCAAAATCTTCAATTTACTAGAAAAATTCACTTACAAATTTTTCGTACAAAATAATTAGAAAAAATCTACGTTTCATTACCTTTCCAATGAGGTATCAACCAGTTTAGAAATGACAAAGATATGAATAATTAGAACAAAACAGGTAGGGCCGTGAACAAAGGACTTTGTTACACAGGAATAGGGCGATAAGTAAGACTTTTATTTCAGGTGATGCAGGTAGAACTCGATAACATGCTGTGGAAGAAGAAGAAATATTAAATATTTTCCAAAGAGGCTCTACTCTCTCTACTCGCACTGTGGCTTGGATTATCCCAATGGCAAGTGTGGAATGTTTTGCATGAAAACATGTTCCACCTTTACCACTACACACCTGTGCAAGGAGAGGAAGGAGATTCCATGAGACACATGCAATTTAGTCGCTTTATTTTAAACGCATATGTTGAAGATAGAAATTATTTAAGAAAAATTTTATGGACCGACAAATCAAAATTTGATAAAGACGGTATAACAAACTACCATAGCGCTCACTATTGGCGTGAACGTGCAGTGGGAAACTCTCATTTGAAGAGACCAAAATGATTTCAAAGAAGATTTAGTCTGAGTGTCTGAGGCATGTTAAATAGCTTTTTGGTAGGACCACATTTCCTATCTGACAACTTAAATGGACAAGCCTACGAAAATTTCTTAAAAATAATGACATTTCAGACTGTGTTAAAAATTAGTTAAATGAGCAGTTTCCGAATCCATGGATTGGTAGAGATGGACCAATCCCATGGTCAGCACAACTATGGACTTTTTGTGTGGCGTCGCAAGAAAACTTTAGTATACTCTAATCAAAATCCTGTACCCACAATAGAAGACCTCAGAAACATGATAATACATGCACACAAGAAATTCAAGCCTCTCTTAGGAATTCGGCGGTAATAAAATCAGCTGTAATAACAAGAGCACGTTTGTGCATCAGAAATAGAGAGCGCCACATTGAAAATCTATTATAAAAATAAAAATACAGTTTGAAACAAATTATCCCATATTGAAGTGTAATTTTGTATTTGTAGTATTTTTATAGCCTTTTCCTTCCTCCTCTTATAATAGTCATATTTTTGCCAATTCTTAAATGATTTGTGATTTTTTTACCTCATTTGAAAGGTAATGAAACGTAGATGTTTTCTAATTATTTTGTACGAAAAATTTGTAGGTGATTTTTTCCAGTAAATTGAAGTTTTTGAGATGATACAAGATTTTTGTTAACAAAAAGTGAACTATTTTGAAGCTTACTGAGATAACATCAATAATGTACATTTGAGTATCAATTTTCGAATTTTAGAATATTTTTATTGTAAAACAAAAAAAAATGGATAAAACACAATTTTTAAGTTTTATCTTGTTTAACATATGAAGGACGTTAATCTTAAAACAATATAACTCGAAAACAGCTAATTTTCCGACAGTAGTTCCTATAGTTAAATCGACTCAGATTAGCCTATACTATCTCCCCCTTACCGGTACCGCATCTATTTTCTCGTCATACTGTATAATAATAGAATAGATAGATCATTTGTATTTCAAACCTGACTATGTGTCAAAGTGGGTAAGCAAAACGCCTCTATAAGTGATCAAAAGTTCTAATTCCCTTGAGGATCCAATTATACATGTCCTACTGTATAAATAATACTTTTTGTACAAGTAATCCATTATTTTTGTATCCATAAAAAGAAAAATAATAAAAATAAGAAGACACATTGACAGATGATATTATTATGTAAAGTAAACCTTAATATCTACCTGTGGTTTATAGCTATTAAGTATCTGATATGCCTTCATAAGATTCAATTTTCCATGACCCTGTTCAAACATATTCACTCCAGGTAACCTTCTAGCTGATGCCATCAGTGCCTGTTTCATACTGGCAGGGTTGATTACATCACCCCGATGTAGTACGCCACTGTACAGTAATGTGACAGCACCAGCAACAACAGGTGACGCAACACTTGTGCCTGATAAGGTGCGACATCCACCTTTAATGTGAGACCCTTTAACAGCTGAACCATATGTGACTATGTCTGGTTTTATGCGTCCATAGCCTAAAACATTCAAAATAAAAAGATTTGTCAGCCTTGTTTTGAAAATATGAAAAAAGTAACCTAGTAAAAGTATTTCTATAGCTAACAAGGATGCTGAATATAAATTCTAGGTAATACATGTGCTTAGTGAGGTTACCATTGAGTTACAGCTGCCAGTTGCTTTCAGCAGCTATTAAATATAGAAAATAAAGAATATTACCTTGAGGTAGTTCCCAAGTAGTCATTCCTCTTGATGAGAATTTGGCAATTTGATCCTCAAAATTGATACCTCCAACTCCAATTACATCCATTTGATCAGCAGGATTATTTAGAGTACCATATAACGGTCCATCATTACCAATAGCTGATACCATTATCACCCGGTTTGCAGTCAATTCCCACACTTTATCAACAAAAGGGTGATCCTTAAAATCTGGCCCACCAATGCTCAAATTTAACACATTAATTTTCTTCAAAATAGCATAGTTAAAAGCATCTAAGAACCAGGAGGTGTAAGAAACTTGATTATTTGTGAAGACTCTAAAAATGTGCAATTCGGAATCTGGTGCAAACCCAAGGCACTCTTTGCTGGATGCTATAACTCCAGCTACAAATGTTCCATGACCTAAGCCATCATCATATGTTTTTTCATTTGTCCAATTTGTTCTCTCTTTAATTTTTCTAAAATGTGGATGAGTCTTTGAAAGACCTGTGTCAAATATTGCTACCTTTATCCCTTTTCCTGTAATACCCATGTTCCATAAAGAATCAGCTTGAAGAACTGTTGTTATCTGTCTAGGAACAGCTCTTAATAATCGTCTACTTGTGTGTCTGCCTGTAGCTTGCCAAAACGGATTTTTTGAGTTGAGACTTTTCCGCCCATATCTAACATACTCAGGATTGATGAATTTCAATGTTCTTGAGACCATTCGCTGTGCTGTAACTCGTTTTACTGCTGGATGGCTATTTAGAGCATTTAATCCTTCAAGTTTATCAGTGTCAGTCAGAATGACTACATCAAAATCACTGGGGTAGTCGCTGGCAGGGTTTTCTCTTTCTATGATTTTCCAATTACTGATTCCTGAAGCGTTTAGGGCGGTGTTTATGTAATTTATACGGGCCTGATTCTTGTAGTAACCATTGAACATAACAATGTACTCATTCTCTACAATTTTGGAGCTGTAATCTAGTTCTACATGTTCTGCCGTAAGATTGCAGCATAGTGGTGATTCTAGTATATCTTCTGTGGGAATTTCGTTATTTTTAAATGACTGGGAAATAGCGGAGTTCGCGAGGAGGCACAAGATGTAAATAAAGGTGAAATGCCCCATTTCAACGTTCGGTTTTCCACTTTCTTTTCCTTCGATTCATCGTACTTAAACACTTTTTAACATCAGGCATAATTTCACACAGGCTAAATGTTCATCAATAACATCCATGTCAGAGGATTTCCCTTGTTTTTATATAATCATCAACCTGTTTTGTTAAAATACAGGTGCATTCAGTTGACGTTGTTTTCTCCAGAAATGACAATGAAAAATGAAAAATGACGTATCTAAAAAAAGAGCGTTTGTGGCGTCACCTATATAAGAGCAATATGACTACTATAAACTATATACCCTCTCCAGACTCACGTGCGGATCACGGCGTGAAATCGCGGCGTGGATCCTGGTGTGAATCCCGAAATTTGTTCCTTCAGTACCACACTAGCAGATGTTCGCGTCTGCTTCACAGTATAGTTCGCGCTCTTGACGAGTATGGATGGTGAAATTGCTACTGCTGCTGCAGGGCTACTTTGCGCTTTGGTCATTTATAATTACGCATATACAGGGTGTCCGCAAAGTTGGGGTTTTCCTTTTCAGAAACAACTACCCTTGAAATAACAAAGGTAATGTGTAGTGAAACGAGGGCGACCAAGTAAAAAAAATAAAGGAAAAAGTACTCACTCTCCAGTTGACGAGAAGGGCTAAGTACGTCTCTGCCCGAAATCATACCGCTCCAACAGAAAATGAAATCAGCTGATGCGCTACCGAGCAGACGCAGAAACCACATTGATTGTCTTACACTTAATGGCACATCTTCTAACAAGGAAGGCAAAATGTTGCGTAAAAAGTCTAGGTATTGCATACCGTCCAATCGATTTGGGAGAATAAATGGTCCAATGAGCATACCGTTCACCATGCCAGCCCAAACATTCACCGAAATTGTTTGTTGAAAATGTGCCCGACGGACAGCGAGCGGATTTTCTACTGATCAAACATGAGTATTGCGAAAGTTATTCACCCCATTACGCGTGAACGTAGATTCGTCTGTCACCAATATGCACTTCAAAAAGTCCGGATTATTGTCATGTTGATGCAACAACCAATCACAAAACTGCACTCTTGCTGGAAAATCGTCAGGTTGAAGGGCTTGTACACGTTGGACGTGAAATGGATACAGCCCCACTCCACGCAGCGTTTGCCACACTTTAGTTTTTGATACTTGCACTTCTCTAGCCACGTCTCTAGTGCTTGTTGAGGGATTCTCGTCTACGCGATTACCTCTACATGCGTGACCGTAACCGTCGGTTGAAGTTTGCATACTGACCTGACACACTGACCCCGATCCAGTTCTGTCGTCGGGTTGAGCCAGTGACCTTGTACCAGTCGGTGATGTCGCGGTTACAGGACGGTATTCAGATATTTTTGATGTTTCAGAGCCCTTTATCTCGGTTCCCTTAAGACATTGGTGTATATGATACTAAGAAAAATAGCTTATGTTTTCAAGATCTACACGTCGTGTAAAGGAAAACCCCAACTTTGCGCACACCCTGTATAAGAAAACTAGAGCAAATGAAAAGAAATGGAAAAAACACAACCATTCCCGGTACTCGCTATGAGGCGGGAAACATCAGCGAAAGAGGAGCCTAGTCATGTTCGCGCCTTGCGGGCCCTTTGTCGCAGGACAAAAAAACCGACAACGAAACGGGAACAATGGGCGAACGCGACGTGAAGCCGTGAATGGGATCCACACTCATGGTCGTGGGTAATTCGCGGCTTCGCGCGAGAGTCTGGAGAGGGCATAATCCCTTAGAGCGTTGTCTGTGTAGTACCCTCTTCAGGCTCACGCGCGGATCACGGAGTGAAATCGGGGCGCGGATCTCGGTGCGAATCCCGAAAACTCTTCCTAGAGTTCCACAGTCGCAGATGTTCCCGCCTACTTCAAAATACAGTTCGCGCTCTTAACGAGTATTGACGGTGAAATTGCTACTGCTTCTGCAGGGATACTTTTTGCTATTCCAATTTATAACTACGCATATATAAGTAAAACTAAGACAATTGAAAAGAAATGGAAAAAACACAACTACTCCCGGCACTCGCTATGAGGCAACTGAGCCACCAGTCATGTTCGCGCCTTGCGAACCCTTTGTCGCGGGACAAAAAACCGACAACAAGTGGGAACAACGCGCGAACGCGACGTGAAGCCGCGAAGAATACCCGAATGCGATCCGCACTCATGGGTTGCGGGTAGTTCGTGGCATCGCGCGCGATCCGTGCGTGCGTCTGGAGAGGGTATAAGAGAATAGTACTAGGTAAATATTATTCAGCGCCACCTATACAGAGGTAGATTCATTACTGCAGTGCGCTATCTATGCTGGAGTAATTTCATTACGTGGTTGAGCCTTTATCTAGTTTTCTTTATAACCGACTGTACTGACGCTGACTGACACTGAATTCCGAATTGTCATTTTGACTCCTGACATCTGTCACACGTGTTTATTTCCTTCCATTTTCCCCTGTATTTTGTAGGTATGCAAAAATTACGGAATTCTTCTTTTTCTCAATAATCTCAAACAAATTTACTCAAAATGTTTTAAATTTGGTTACTTTAAAGTATATTTGATCACCTTATGTTGATATTTCATTGAAAACACAGATCTACTAGGCAAATAATTAAATTGATTGCTTTTAGGTTACCTACTCTTCATATGTATTAATTTTCAGGTTTCCAGTATGGGGGCTTACAAATACGTGCAAGAGCTGTATCGCAAGAAGCAAAGCGATGTCCTTAGGTTCTTACTTAGAATTAGAGTATGGCAATACCGTCAACTGACCAAGTTGCATAGAGCCCCCAGGCCTAGCCGCCCGGATAAGGCACGAAGATTGGGCTACAGAGCTAAACAAGGTAGGTGTTCTGTATGATTATTTGTTTATTCACACGTAGATGAACTATCATGTTGGAACCGTTTGTAAAACTTTAATCACAAAATGATACTTTTCTGTCACTGATGTTATAGCTGTTCTAATTGAGGTGCCATTTTTAGGGTATGTAATCTACCGCATTAGGGTACGACGTGGAGGTCGCAAGCGCCCAGTACCAAAAGGAGCAACTTATGGCAAACCAAAAAGTCATGGAGTTAATGAATTAAAACCTGTGCGTAACTTGCAATCTATTGCTGAGGTATGAAACATCCCTACTAATATTACAAATGAGAAAGTGTGGATTTTTGTTTCTCAATCATGCCCCAATGTTTGAATGGATCTAGATTAAATTTGATACAGAGTCACACATTATAGTCTGGAATAGCACATAGTCTATATTTTATCCTGGGACATAACTTTAAAGGGATTAAATATCTGTTTCAAGGGTTTTAGCCGAAACAGTATAAACGAATTTGAAATGAGGTGTCTGGCATTCAAATACTGGTTAGACAGAAATGACTAAGGTTGCATAAATAGGGCATTGTGTATTTACTGCATTTTGACATTCATTTTCTTAGGGTGGCCCTCTTGATTTAGATTTGAATGGTTGTTTTGTCTTACTTCAAGTATAATCTTAATAGCTATTAGGTTAGGATTTGTTATGGTAATTTTATAGCTTAGCTTTACCAGCCATTTTTGATGAAAACATGATTTCAGACCCTAGTTAGTGGGTGTAGATGAAAGAAATGGGACTGAAAATGAGCGCAAACATAAAAGTTATAAAATATTTTTAAAGAGTGTGTAATGATGCCAGATTTCAATACTTCATAGGTTTTTGTGTTACTGGATATTCTTGATAATTAAATTTGTATGTATGACTTCGATCTACACACAACCTACATAATGTCTAATGTGCTGTGACTCAAAGGGGGCCAAAATCTAGACTAGAAGGAGAGCTTCTACATGTGGAAATATCTATTTTCATTAATTTTCTTATATTTCTTAAATATGGAAATGTTGTGGTATGTATAGGATCAACTCCATTCTGCAAATGTGGTGATTAAGAAGGTGTTTATACCTTTTAAAACCCAGATAATAACAACAGTATTCTGCAACTAACACCTTTTCAGGCATTTTTAATATCATTTCCATCATTTACAACCCAAACCAAGTGCCTATTTGGATAGAGAAACAATAAAGGCTGGTGTAGCTAAGCTAGAGAATTACCAGATATATTAAGATATACCACACAGGCTATGTATGAGATATAGTTTATTGTAATCTTGCACTCCAATCTGAGAAAGAACGGGGGAGTTGTGGCTTTTGTCGGCAGCAGTCTTTCCTGCTTCAGAGATGTTTTTTTGAAATCAGACTGGAAGGAGATTCTGTGGCTTTGTCTCAACTGCGAAATATCACCCAAATTTATTTGCTGCCTTTATTGCTCTCCCTCGGACCATAACTGGGATGACCTACTAGAATACCTTGCCATCCAGATCGACTTCCTGAACATCAATCACCCCGCTTCAGAGGTAGTTCTTCTCAGTGATTTTACTGCCCATAATGAGCTTTGGTTGTGCTCAAACAAGACCGATGCAGCAGGTGGTGCAGTCGAAGTGTTCGCTCTTACTCAATGGCTGACCCAGCTGGTGACGAGCCCTACTTTTTTCCCCCGCGTCTCGTCACACGCCAGTAGCCTGATGGATCTCTTTCTGAACACGCATCCTTTCCCTATAGCAATGCTCTGTCCCCCTTGGGTAACTCAGACCACGGTGTTGTGGAGGTTAGGTTTCGGTCAGAACCTGCTGTGGCAGCAGAAACTCGTACACGCACACGGCGCAAAACTTGGCATTACGGACATGCCGACTGGGAGGGGCTCAGAGACTTTCTTCTCTTGGAGAGATGTCTATTTCACTGACGCGGATGCGTCGGCTGTCTGTTCTTCGATAACAAATTATCCACGACGGAATGGAGGAATACATCCCTCACACAGTGAAAGTGCCTAAACCAGGGACCAACGGCTGGTTTAACATATCGTTGACACTGCTCGCCGGCAGAAGATCAAGGTACACAGAATCTTCTTACAAAACCCATTGTAGAGAACAGACAAGCCGACGTCGAGTCGAGAAACAAATATAACGAAGCGGTTCTCAATACCACAAACCAGCACGATATAAAAGTTAGGCACAGGGTAATGTCGCAGCGCAATTGCACTCGGTCTTCCTGGACGCTGGCCAAGCAGATTGAAAAGAACTTCTCACGCAGTAGCCTTCCACCACTTACGTGTCAGGATGGAACTATTGTATTCGACACAAAGGCCAAGGCGGAAGTGCTAGCCAAGATCTTTGCTGACAACTCCACCATGGACGTCCCCCCCAACGCCCAAGTGCCGTCAATTCAAAGGGTTCCCTACACTATGAGGGAGGTAACCTTCAGGCATAAGACCGTAAGACGAGTGCTCTTGCTGCTCGACATCAACAAATAATAATAATAATCTTTATTGATCATAGAAAAAATACACAAGTATTCATAGACAACTACAGGCCTATAGCTCTGCTTTCTGTTATAACTAAGGTGATGGAGAGGTGCATAAATCGCGAGCTTCTGGACTACCTCGAATGTCACATCTTGATTAGCGACTGGCAGTATGGTTTGGGTTT